TACATAGGAATTGAAGTAAAAGATTAAAGCTAAACACATATATGTTTTAAGGGACTTATTTAATATCATCAATAATAAAAATTATGAATTGAATTGAATATGAGGATGGAATATAAAGTAACAAATTCTAGGAAGAAAAATAAATCATTTAAATTAAACATGTATTTGGAGATGCACTTATGCCAGTTAATTTTTCAGGAAGGTAAGTAGCTTAAAGTAATGACTATTAATGGTAAACATATTTGTAGTTACGTGATAGATATTTGTAATCCTCTGAAATCTAACATAATGGTCACAGAGCTCTATTCTAGACAATATACTTCTTTTTGCATATGCCTCTTAGGTTATAAAAAGTACACCTGTAGTTCATCAAAATGTGCCCCAAGGCACAATACCATTTTACTCAGTCATTAGAAAGTTTAGCATAATTGCTTAGCATAATCCAAAGAAAATATGAGTACTGACATCAGGGACTCTCCAATTTGTTAGGCAATTGTTCCATAATTTTTGGCACCAAGATAATCCACATGTTGAAAAAGCAATTAATCATTGGTGTTAGTTATCAAGTTATGATTTTAGCTGTTTCCTCCCCAAATTGACCCGAAATGACAGAGTTCCTTATTTCATTTTGTAATATTCTGACTTCAGAGATCAAAAGTTTAAGTATGCCAGTCTGGTTACAGTTGACCTGAGTTTTGTGTTAATTAGTTTTCTGAAATAAGTAGATCATAACTTGATATTTACAAAGATGAATGGTATTAATTTCACTAATATTTGGGTAAAAGGTTTAGTGACCTTTAGAAAGTTACAGATTGATTACCTCAGAAGAAGTTATTTGAAGTCCTTAAACTAGCATTTTGGTCCCCAAAAGATAAATTTATTTGCTGTAGGAACGTGTGTTGAAAATAGGCCAAAACAAGAGAACACACAGATTTTAAATTTTCTAATATTTTGCAAATACAATGACATAGCCACTTCAGTCATTAAGCAGTGAATGAAATAATTACCTCACCATAATTTTAACATAATCATCTTTTACTTATACCATAAGGATGAGTAAAAATAAGAGCCATCATTCTGTGTAGTATATTTTCCTATCTTCAAAAACCACCCTCCCACAACGAACCCCCTTTTCCCCCCTGCATTGCTCAACAATGCATGTGTCTTTGGAATTCATAGTTAAAACAATCCAGAAATATAGAAAGAAACCTTGGAACTCAACAGTCTGTGTTCAGTTCAGTTTATTCAGCTACGTGTGGATACAGTGCAGACTTAGCAATATAAATGAAGTCTTCTCTGCATGCATGACTTATGCATCTGTACCTCATCACTCACAGAAGTTTTTGGAAACTCTAAGCCTCTGCAGTATGTAGCACTCCAACTCCCAAACAGTTTCTCTGATTCATTGTAAAGTTACTATGCTCCTGCCCCTCTGTGTTTATTTTCAAGTGGCTGCACTATTGGGTAGTTTATTATTCTATTGTGCAATGCAGTGATTTTTCAAAATCCTGAATACTAACTAGGTAGTCATACTAATTTATGACAACAATCTTCAGACTACATCCCTCAAGTGGAGTGTGTGATGTTTAGTTTCAGAGCTTATCCACATTCAGAGACAGTGGAGCACAAACAGCGTGTCTTTCTGTTGGCCTTTTGTTTTTGGTAGTACTACTGATTTAAAAGTAACAACTTGTGTGGTGTCTTCTTGTTAACCAATAAATAAAACATGTAGAATGAAGTGCTCATGTAACCTAAAAATGGTACTAAATGCATCCATTCTCAACAATATAAATAAGTTAATGTTGAATTGTTTGCAACTGATTTCTCTCTCCATCTCTTCTCCAGCCCATGTTTCTGGCTCTAGTTTTATTACGCGGACATTGGGATTAAGTTTTTGATAACGATTGACATTTCCTGTATATTATCACCAAGGAGCTTGAGAAATTATCTCTGAAACAAGTTGAAAGTGTACAAAAAACAGACTTCGCTTAGAAAATGGCCTATTCAGCTCCTGAATAGGTCAAGGCTGTAAGATAATACTTTGCAGGGAAAGGTAACCCCAATTCATTAGTTTCTGAATAATGGCTGCAAATTGAAGCTTGATTTCCTAAAATCTCAATAATATAAATTGGAGTACTTATACCAAAAGTGGTCGTAACAGTACATTAAAATTTAGAGATACTTTAAAATTATTTGTAAAGGATCTTGCTTTTTAATAAAGTAGCTACATTTACAATACAAATGTGCCCTGGCCTGTGTGACTCAGTTATTTGGGCTACTTCCTGTGCACTGAAGGGTTGCCCATTGATTCCATCAGGGTGCAAGCTCGGGTTGCAGGCTCAATCCCCAGTAGGGGGCATAAAAAAATCAGAAAAAAAAATGCAATGCTCCTTTCTGCTATTTTCGCGTGGGCTGAGACAATGAGTAGAGGTACATTGATGTCTCTGTAATATCCACTTAACCTCTCAATGTGTGGTAGTTATTTGGGTATTGACCCTACTCCCAGCTCCAGGGGTGGCCGTTAATTGGTCTAATGCAGTCACTATATATAATCCAAGGGATGTGCTCATTACTCAAGTTAGACTAGTCAGAGTGAAGTGGGAACCTTATTTTGACCATCATGAGCAGCTATGTCCCCCTCACTGCATGGTTTGGTATGCAGCCAGTTTGGCAGAATCTGCTTTAGGTTTAGTCAACATGTGTAGGGCAGAGCTGAGAAGAAAACTAATCCAACTGTGCCTAAGCCAAATTTGATTCTGGACTCTGGAGTTAGGTGAGCCAAAATTCTTATTGTTTAAGCAACTGGTTGTGTTACTTTTGTTGTTATAGGCATCTTCCATCACACCAGATGTCTTTTAAAAAATTTTATCTTTATTGTAAAAAGTATTATAGATGTCCTCTTTGTTTTCACACCAAGATGTCTTAATTGACTAGGTTACAAATGTCAAATTAAATATGGATAATTATATTCTAGTCTTGGAATGAAAAATGCCAATATGTTTTCACAGTGACTTCAATTACTCCTCTTTCATGTCAGAACCTTAACTATTCAATCATGTCTGTCAGAGAAACCTCAACAAGCTTGTGAATGTTCCTGAGTGACTCGGTATGGTGTTGGGTGTCGCTGAAGGCTGTGGCAGTCAATACAGATTTTGGCTGCTTGTTGGGGGCAACCAGATTTTTTTAAAAGGGCACAGAAATGGAGGTCAGCTTGAGCTATCTGAAACTGGGGTGGCTGCTTTTACTTAAAGGGATATAAAGTGAGACCAAAACGCTAATGTATCATTAACTGAGAAAGTATTTGGTTACTAATGGTACCTGGCTTCCTCATCTTGCCAAAGACCATCTCATTGCTAAATCTAATGGAAAACTTTTAGGCTTTGCTTTCCTTAACTTCTTGGCAGCATGTGAAGGCAAATTACTTCCGAGAGTTTTACTTCTGTGCTTCATTCAGTGATCTCTTCTTCCTCTGCCATTTTAAAATTTGATGTTTCCTTGATTTGCCTTGGGTCTTCGGCTCACTAATCATTCGCCACAGGTCATCTCATCTGCTTCCACCCAGCCATTACCCCCAAATCTCTTAACAGAATTCACTTAGAAACCTCAATCAAACACTTCAACATTTCTGCTGTTTAAGGCACTTTAACTCCCCATTGTCGTTAGGACAGTGATGGCAAACCTTTTGAGCTCGGCGTGTCAGCATTTTGAAAAACCTTAACTTTGGTGCTGTGTCACATATATAAATTTTTTGATATTTGCAACCATAGTAAAACAAAGACTTATATTTTTGATATTTATTTTATATATTTAAATGCCATTTAACAAAGAAAAATCAACCAAAAAAATGAGTTCTCATGTCACCTCTGACACGCGTGTCATAAGTTTGCCATCACTGCGTTAGGATGATCCAAAAGGCTCCTGCAAGGGTCTACCCTCATCTTACCTATTAGTCATCTCTCGCCACTCCCCACATTCTACTCGACACTCAAGCCTAACCGAATCTCAGTTCTTGAAGGTTCTAAAGTTCTTGCTCTCTGCCTCTGGCCTGCCACACACTGCTGTAGTCTCTGCCAGTAGAAGTAATTGCTTCCCCATTATGCTTTTTCTGGTTAGTCCTCCATTAAAATTCCAGCCTAATGTCAGGCAATCCCTTCAGTAAGCTGGCCTGGGTAACTCCACTCTGGGGTAAGTGTTTTTCTTGAGTTCCCCAGCTCACTTTATTTCTCCCTTCACAGCAATATGCTTTGGTTCTTAACTAAGTTCTGCAAGGACAGTGGTCATGTCTCTCTTGCTCAGAATATCTCCAGAGAGTAAAACTGGGCCTGGTTCAGTATGGGCAATTGGCGAATTTTTGAAAGACTATATATCCTGTGCTAGACTCTGTCTCAATTAAGTTATTTGATTTTCCTGAAAAACACTGTATTAACTTGTGTTTTTACTAGTGGGCTATCAAAAGGAGGTCCTCAAATAACACTGCTTTATTCAATGCTATTTCATTTTAATGTTGATGAGATGCTCTAGAAACTTAACTCTTGTTTCTATCAATTATCCTGTCGTAAAATTGGTTTCATTGGTTTCCCTGTAGTTCTAAGGACCTTCAGTAAGGACTTAGTGTATAGGCAAGTTGAAAATAGCTCTGATAATCAGTATGGCAAGTGAAATGCTGAAATTCTTTGACTAATTTAGAAAGGCAAGACTCTTTAAAAAAGAGGTTCTGCCCTGGCCAATGTAGCTCAGTTGGTTGAGTGGCGTCCCATGCACCACAAAGTCGTAGGTTTGGTTCCTGGTCAGGGCACATACCCAGGTTGCGGGTTCAATCCTGGGTTGGCGTGTGTCTGGAGGTACCCGATCAATGTTTCTCTCTCTCTCTCTCTTAAAAAAACAACCCCAAAAGCATATTAAAAAAAGAAAGATTCTAATATTTCTTTTCCTCAATTCTAGAATATTAAAGAATACTAGAAAAATGTTGTAACCCCTCCCATAAAACAATGAAAGAACAATTTCATTTTAAGGACTTTTATTACAGGATGTTAATATATTCAGGACACTTCAGAGCACCTTATACTTCTAATCAGATTTTTGGTAACTGTTTTTAAAGTGTTACTTGAGTATTTTTCTCACACTGGCTTTCAGGCAAAAGTACTACTTGGTGATTGTTTAAGAGACGTTAATTTGATTAAACAGTTTATCCTTAATAACCTGAGACATCAATCCATGGATAGCTTCTATGGTCGTTTTACAGCTGGAAAGAAAAAACACATTACATAATGTCACAAGACCTGAAAAGTGGTTCAACTATACAAGCCCCCTCCTTTCCATTGCTGAACCCCCAATAATGGTCTTCAATTCTATTCATACTCCCTTAAACATACCAATTAATAGTTTACTCTCGTTATTTTTAGCCTCCTGCATGTCTTTTGACCATTTCACTACTTATGAGCACCTTCACAAGGAATAACAAAGTGAAATTTGATAGGATTCATAACAGTTAATTTTGTTACGTGTCAGCAGCTTTGGGAAAAGTTTTGTTTTAGAAGGTGACTAACATATATAATTCATCATTATATTGATTCCAATACTACATTAAAATCTATCATTCCTTTCCTTGTCGTTTTTTACTTAGAATAATTTAAAAAATGATTTTAAAGAATCCTATGCTTTTTTCCTGAAATAAACACAAACATCCTTCAAAGAATTAAAAGTCAAAGTTAGTTCAGTGGGTAAAGGACTCAGATTTTAGAATTTATAATAATAAAAGCGTAATATGCTTCATAAGAAATTGAGATGTAAATGTAGTTAAAATTACAAATCACAGACTTATAGAGACAGATGAGGAAAATACTAGTACACACTTAGAGCAAATACCAAAACTGAGACCTAATGTCAAAGGAAAATGTAATTCTTTTCCAGGCTATTAGCTCTATCTATACCTGCTGAAAACCCATGGAAAAGAAAGGAATGAGGTAATTCTAACCCAATGGGGCTTCTGCTCCTAATATACATTGTCTTCCCTTCTCCCTTCTCCTTTCCACCCAGTAGTCCAGTTTTTCTTAAAAGGGATACCAAAGTTTCGGTTTATACAGATGTCAACATGCTTTTCCCTTCCTTTCTGCTCCTAATTATCATATTAAAATTCAAAATTTTGTGAAAGTAAATGTTATTTAGGTAGTCTTTCCAATCCTGTATGCATCTGCAGGGCCACATAATTATTTCCTAAGGTATCATGGAACATATCCCAAATTTGTTTCTAACAAATCTTGGTAGTGAAATTTGGGATACTAAACAAAAGATTATTTCAGGAGAATAACAAGGGAGATATAATCATTACTGTGCTACTTAGGGTTTAAAACTTTATAAAAATTTAATAAATTGTACTTTAATTCCTAGAAAATAACTAGGTTAGAATGGATTAAGACATACTTTTGCAAAAGCTTTTAAAAAAAAAAAAGATTCAATGATTAGCCCTAGCTGGTTTGGCTCAGTGGATAGAGTGTTGGCCTGTGGACTGAAGCGTCCTGGGCTAGATTCCGACCAAGGGCACATACCCAGGTTGCCAGCTCTATCCCTAGTAGGGGGCGTGCAGGAGGCAGCTGATAATGATTCTCTGTCATCATTGATGTTTCTCTCTCTCCCTCTCCCTTCCTCTCTAAAATCAATAAAAAAATATTTTAAAAAAGGAAAGAAATCTCACAATGAACTATAGAGAAAACATCAGTACAGATGCTTCATTAAAAAAAAAAGATTCAGTGATTGATTGGTTTCTTTGGTTACTTTCTAGCTGAACCTAGGAAAGGTGTGACTGGGAGTGTTTCATACCATTATCTAGACCTTTAAGCTTTTAACGTTCTTATCTAATGTCTCCTAAATTTTCAAAGTTAAACTCTGCCTTCAACAATTCTTAAAGGTCCTGAGAAGTTAATATTCAGCCACTAATTCTAAGTTATAAGTAAGTTAAACCATAAGGAATTTGAATCCTATTATTATTTGCAAATCTGGAAACAAAAAGAGGGACAGGAATAGATCTGCTTTTACCTGTCTCGAGTAGCTTTGGCAAGTTTGTCTTCTGACTTTCGGTCGTGTGTTTCTAAACCCAACATGAAACTCCCTCGTCCCAGCTGAGCTTCTGACTGTTCTAATTTTTCAGACAAATCAAAGACCTGGCCGGTGGTATAGTCTGCATTCTGTGGGGAAAATGATATTGTTGCAGTGTGTGATACAAGTCTGCCATTAGATAATTTTAACATAAAATAATTTTCTTCAATATAGAACATTTCATTTACAAAGAATTCCACTATGAGGCAGCTCTCTGAGCAGCCTGCTGGAAGTTTCTCTTGGAGTGTCCTTTCTCTTTGCTTGTCCAAATAAATCTTCTCTAGTGAAAAACAAAAACAAAAACAAAGAATTCCACTATGAAAATCTAAGTGGCTAGTCAGTGAATTATTTGTTATAATAAGAGGCTTTCACAGATCTGAGCCCAGGTTCTGGTTCTGCTGCAGATTAGTTAGGAGGCCTTGAGAGAGTGCCTTTACTTTTCTATGCCTTTAAGTCTTGATCTTAGGATGGTCTATGGTACCTGGCCAAGCCTTAATAACTGTTAGCTAATTTTGTTATTTGTTCTTGTTCAACTTCCAGAATTAGTACTGTGACAATATTTAAATAACATTGTTCTAGCTTTCCTGATAATAAAATTAACAGCTTTGCAGAAAATGTAGAGCAATATAAAGAAGAAAAGAAACACATATACTCCCTCCACCTTGCTCTAACCAGAGTTATATTTTAGAGCAGCGGTCGCCAACCTTTCGGACCTCACGGAACACCAGTAGTCCACGGACCACCAGTTGGCGACCGCTGCTCCAAAGGTTTCCTTAAACCAGTGGTCGCCAACCTTTCGGACCTCAAGGACTACGGGTTGGTGACCGCTGTTTTAGAGTATTGCTATATTTTCACAATGCACAGCTCTATTTGGTAAGCTGGAATATATACAGGGTGAGGCAAAATAGGTTTGCAATTGTTCGTATGGAAAAAGAATTGCAGGTTATGATTATAACAGCAAATAAACTGTGTTTGCACAACCGTAAACCTACTTTGCTTTGCCCACCCCTATATAAACCATTTTGTCCAATTTCACACTTTTCAAAAAGAAAAAAATTTATAGTTACATGTATATGCTTAACTGAAATATTTTAAAAGATTTTTAGGCACATCTTTTTGAAAATGTGTCTAAAAAAAAAAAAACTTTCATGAAGATGAGTTAAGAAGTATATAGGCCATTTCTTTCCTATATTTTCAATAGAAGAGCATGAAGATTTAATAAACTTGGCAACAATTGGTGTGTTATCCTGATTGCTCAGTTTACAAGACAGTGTACAGAAAATACAGTTCAATCACCAAACATGAAAAGTTATTTGCTGCCATCATAGTTACTACAGAGGGCCCTTTAAAATGCTACCAGTAATTCAATTTTACAAACTTATATTTTTAAGGAAGCAATTATATTCACTTTGTCTGGATCTAAATGGTTTAGGACACCACCACCACCACCACTGTCCCCTGCCTCAAGTTTGGAGAAAACCCTCAAGTTTATGACCACTTCATATTTGGAAGATTAGTTCAAGCCATGAAAATGTAGGAAGGCAGAAATAATTATAGTATTAAAATGAAATAAAATGACATCAATTACATTTCAGACACACAGAATAATTTCATAGAGGACTAATTTCTTAAAATCAGAAAATTTTTCTGGTAGTTTTTAGATTACATGCTGTAGCTGGGGAAATAGATGAGTTGAACATATATTTATATATTTTTTTCTTAAAAATGCTGCAATGTACTATATATAAAACTACAAGGAAGGAAGAAATATAATTAAACCTTTTCTTGCTTATTAATGTCCTCAATATATGCAGTGCTGTAATACAGGGACGCCAAAGCATTTTTTTCTGGTAGTTTTTAGATTACATGCTTTAGCTGGGGAAATAGATGAGTTGAACATATATTTATATATTTTTTTCTTAAAAATGCTGCAATGTACTATATATAAAACTACAAGGAAGGAAGAAATATAATTAAACCTTTTCTTGCTTATTAATGTCCTCAATATATGCAGTGCTGTAATACAGGGACGCCAAAGCCTGAATAAGTAAGTCTGCCTTCATACAAAGGTTCAGGCTGCTATGGTCTTAATGTTTTCTCCCTTGCTACCATGTGTCACTTCTGGCTGCTGTGAGTACACTTGCCTCTAAGGAAACAACACATATAAAGCATTTAGCAGTGTTTAGCGTATAGGAAGCTCTTAATAAAAGTGTGCTGTTATGGTCACTCTCCTTTCTTTTAATATGCTACTTCTGACTGTGGAGGATAAAAAATAAGAACAGAAAACTTGCCAGAATTGTGTTTAAAGTTATAGTAAATATGCTCAAGTGGGGTCTTTTCCTCTGAATACAACGAACCAAATAACAACAAAAAAAAAAAACTTACTGAGGCTTTATTATATGCCAGACACTTTGCTAACTGCTTTATATAAAGTATTTAATTAATTCTCAATGTACTTAATGATGTGGATACTAATATCATTGAACCCAAGAAAGGCTCAGTCACATTAAATAACTTTCTGAAGGTCAAACATTGCTAGTAAAGTGGCAGAGTTGTTTGAACTGAGTTAATTTTATTCCAAATTTTGTGGTTCTAAATATTATGCTAAATTGTACTATAATATGAAGTGGCCATCTTTTTTTTCTTTTAAGTAAAAAACAAAATAAAACAAAAAATAAACTGTTCCTGGCTAAGCTATAGATAGCATAGTTAGAAGCTTGTTAAATAAATATCCTTCTTGCCCTAGCTGGTTTGGCTTAGTGGACAGAGCGTCGGCCTGCGGACTAAAGGGTCCCAGGTTCAATTTCGGCCAAGGGTACATGACTGGGTTGCAGGCTGGATCTCCAGTGGGGGGCATGCAGGAGGCAGCTACATGACTGGGTTGCAGGCTCGATCTCCAGTGGGGGGCATGCAGGAGGCAGCTGATCAATAATTCTCTCTCATCATTGATGTTTCTCTCTCTCTATCCCTCACCCTTCCTCTCTAAAATCAATAAAAACATATTTGGGAAAAAAAATAAAATAAATATCCTTCTAAGTATATTAGGTTTTAATGATAATATTGAAAAATATTCAGCAACTTTTTCGCCTAACATCTGCTGCTTTAAGGTAATGATATTCTGATTTCCTTCTGGGACAACCCTTTCCTCATTCTTAGTCCATGTGCTCCTACAACAGTTTCTTCTACCCCAGCCCACTAGTTAATCACTTGGCCCAGATCTGTCACATGGACATGTGACTTAAGCAAAGCCCAGACACAAAGCCCTGGGGAAGAGAGGGAGAGAGACAGAGAGGGACATTGGGAGAAAGGAGGAAGGAGCGGGAGAGTGTGTATGTATCTTGATCTTCTCTTTTTAACATAAAACTGAGAGGCTAGAAGGTCTGAGGCTAATGCTGCCATCTTGCTTTCACATGAAGCCTGAAACTGAAGCAAACTGACATCACATCAAAGCCGAGAGAGAAGGACCAAGCTCTCATAATACTGTTTGAATGCAAACTTAGCTGAAGCTGAACTATGCCTTACTCCTCAACTTTGCAGCTCACGTGATTCTCTTTTTTGTTTAAGCTAGTTTGGCTGGGTCTTCTGTCACTTGTAACTTGAGTCCTACCTGAAATACCCAACACAATACAAAAAACAGTATTTGTCTTTTTCTCTATGTCTCTTTATGGTAGGGGCAGATCTGATCCTCATCTGGGTACTGTATTTGCCATTTAGACTTGGTCTTAATAGTACACGACACAGACCTTTGCTTGGACTATTATCCTAATCCAACTCTGGTCATGCAGAATCTGACCCCAGCCCTGCTGTCCTGGCCAAATCAGGTGTAGCTACTCCATGAAAAAGAGTTTCAGGTATTAAGCATCTTATGTAGCCTAGATAAAATTCAAACCTGTCCCTTGAAATTATAGTACTTACGGTAAGCAAGCTAGAGGAACTCAGCGTATTCACCCAGTATTTATTCCACAAAAGCTCAAGCAATTTGCGATCCAAGGAGGACTTGAAATATGATACTTCTAAGGCATAATATCTATGAAACAAAAGCACAAATTTAGTAAGAAAAAAAAAACACCTCAACCATCTACACTAATAAAAGAGAAACATGGTAATTAGCGTACGACCGCTACCCTTTTCATTGGCTAATCAGAGAGTATATGCAAATTAACTGTCAGCCAAGATGGCGGCCGGCAGCCAGGCACTGAAGCGAGCACGAGGCTTGGTTGCTGCAGACTCCAACTTTCCCCACCTCACTTGCCGGCCTCTCAACTGCAACTCTAAGCAACTATATACTATGTTGCAAATAAGAAGGTAAACAAAACCCCAGAAAACAGCCGGACTGAAACCCAGCCGGACCGAAACATTGTATCCATGTTCTCAGCAGCGAGGCTTCAGAGCTAAAGCTAGCCCAGAATAAAAAAAAAAAAAAGAAAACAAGGAGTGGTTGGAAGCTTCAGTCA